GTTTTAAATAATAATTGTTTAGCTACATTCTTACCTAGAACTATCAAAATTAACAACTTGTAAATAAGGAGTGTTTGTAGACATTTTTACTCATATGCATGTAAACCAGTGTAATTCAGTTTTTAACTGCAAACTTGGTATCTTTTAATAAATTGAAATTGAATAAACAGTAAAATATTCAGAGCAATACAGGAATATCTGCTGAAGATCTTGTTCACAGAAATGATACATGGAAAAGAGTGAAACACAATACCTTAATCTAATTGCAATGAATACAATAATCAAATGTTTGCCTAGTAACTTGTGGCAATTTCTGTCCCCCCTGATTGCACTAATTAATATATGAATCCACCTAAGACAAGTTGTGAATCTTTCCCAGTAAACCGGTATGAAAAAGGAATATCTGCTGAAGATCTTGTTCACAGAAATGATACATGGAAAAGAGTGAAACACAATACCTTAATCTAATTGCAATGAATACAATAACCAAATGTTTGCTTAGTAACTTGTGACAATTTCTGTCCCCCCTGATTGCACTAATTAATATATGAATCCACCTAAGACAAGTTGTGAATCTTTCCCAGTAAACAGGTATGAAAAAGGTTTATTCTTCACCCTTTCATCTACTAACCACTTCACTAATTGCTTTTTAAGTCATGTTGCTTTTACTTCATGCTCTAGAGCATGCTTGGGCATGTTGACAACAAAGGTATCAGCCAGGGCTAATAGAAGCATCTGGGAGTGCAACTTTTGGACAGCATTATTTTTCAAATGCAACGGCTCAATTATCTCTTTCTCACAAAGCACACCCAGAGGAGGTTGGGTGACTATACCGGCATGCATTGCGTCTCATTATTATTCACAATTGCGATTTTCGACAAACGTTTAGTGAAAAGTTGTTGAAATATATTGCGATTTTGATCACTGAAGATTTACTCACCACCGGTAAAATTGAAATAGGCCGATAGTTCTCACATTGTCTTTTATCCCCGGATTTAAATATTGGCGTAACACGAGCACGCTTCCATTCATCTGTATATACGCCTGTTGCAAGCGACAGATTGAAGATGAATGTCAACGAGGTGCAATTATGTTTGCAGATAATTTTAGAATTTTAGCAGGAATTTTATCAAGACCTGTTGCTTTACATGCTTTTAGGCCTCTTAGGGTCGAGGCAACACTATCAACGGATATTGGAGATACTTTAAAAAAAGTATCTGGGGATTGATTAATATTATAGTTTATGGGCTGATTATCAACATTACTACAGGACTCGTCTACATATTCTGCTGCTAGCCTCGACCCAATACTAATGAAATAGTCATTAAATGCATCTGCAATAGATTTAGGATCCGAAACTAACGTGCTGTCAACCAGCAGCTCATTCACATTGTTGGATTTGTTATTCTTTTCCAATAATGAATTAATTAATTTCCAAGTCTTTTTAGGGTCATTCATTACAGAGCAATCAGTGATTTTATCATGAAAATATTTTGATTTTACATTTCGCATTTCAACATTCACTTTATTCCGCAGAAATTGAAAACTTTCCCAATGTGGCTGTGAGGAATGTTTTATTGCATATTTTTTATGATAGTCTCTGTTTCTCATCATACATTTAATTTCCGGAGTAATCAATGGGACCGAGTTCCCCTTTACTCGCTTATGTCGAATCGGCGCATATATATTTAATATCTCATTAAAGAAAGATTTCCATACCCTCCAGCATTCGTTGGGATTATTATATTGATTAATTACATGCCAAGGCATTCTGGCTAAATCCCCAATAAAATATTCAGCATTAAAATGTTTATAATCCCTAACTTCTTTCACATTAGGTTTTGGAAGGGTGAACTTCCTGACCACATAAATCAAACTATGGTCAGACATCCCCAGATCTATTACACCAGACGTCGAAATGTTTTCTTTAGCATTAGTTAAGACCAAATCAATCAAGGTCGCCGAGGTGTTGGTCTCTCTTGTAGGTTTATTAATTAATTGGTCAAGTTGATAAAGAGAACACAAAAAGTTTAATTGTCGTGTATGGGCATCTGGTGAGGTTTTCATAACATCGCAGTTAATATCACCAATTATAATCAATTCCTTATTTTCAGACTCGCATTTTTGAAAAAATACATCACAATCATTAAATAAGCTCAAGTTTGACTTTGGAGGCCTATACCATGTGCAGACAAAAAGCGACTTGCTAAAGGGGCGAGTAATTTCAGCACACAGCATCTCAAGACGATCGGGAACATTACCCTTTTTCCTTAATCTTTTTAATCTCTTTGGTGCGTGTTTGTCAAGCACTTGAAGAAATAAGGTTTTCCAGCATTCCCACATTTCATCCACGTTTTGTTTGCAGTCAAACTCTACCCATGGAAGCATATACAAGTCACTAAGAAAGCTTTCAACATTGAATTTCCTAAAGTTTCTAAATTCAACCGAATTTTGAGAATTTCCTTTAATCATGGAATTTAGTTTACGTGTTGCATAGATTAAACTATGATCACTTATACCGAGATGCACCACGCCTGATTGAATAATTTTATCCGGAGAGGAAGTAATGCAAACATCAAGTAATGATTTTGTAGATTTAGTAACACATGTAGGATCATCAATTATTTGTGTTAATTGGTACAGTTGCATTATCCTTTCAATTTCTGAGAAAGTCTCAACAGTTGTATTTGGAGGTCTATAGACACTCGAAAAAATGAAAGACTTACTATTGGCTTGTTTTATTTCCAAACAAATGGTTTCTAGATCGGTTGGAATTAAATCTGGACGGTTTTCATAGTTTACATGACACCTAACGTATATACATACTCCCCCTCCATTTCTTTTCGATCAGAGCGCAGTATATTGTAACCCTCGATACTCATAAGGTCGTCCGAAATAGAGAAGTCAAGGCGAGTTTCATTTAGTGCCAAGACATCCAATTTTTTATCATGCAATAGCAGGCGAATTTCGTCAAGGTGTTTCGGAATGCTAGCTATATTGAGCATAGCCATTCTAAAACCTCTTAATTTAGGAATATCTGACCAATTTGTCTCATTATCTTTTCCCCTCGGCCTCTTATCATATCATTTTAATATATTTCCTATATTGGCTTGTAGTAGGGCACTCCCTTCATGAGTTAGGTGTAAGCCCCTCACATCCAGATGTTCTTCATCCTGTCCATGTCATGGCAAGAATATCCTCATGTGTAACCATTCTAAAACCTCTTAATTTAGGAATATCTGACCAATTTGTCTCATTATCTTTTCCCCTCGGCCTCTTATCATATCATTTTAATATATTTCCTATATTGGCTTGTAGTAGGGCACTCCCTTCATGAGTTAGGTCTAACCACATCACATCCAGATGTTCTTCATCCTGTCCATGTCATGGCAAGAATATCCTCATGTGTAACCACTTCCGTTGATGAAAACAACTGAAAGAGTGAAAGATAAAGAGAGCACAGACTTTGTTATGCATTGTGTTTATAGGTGTACAAGACCTACTGCGTATCTCAATTGGGCTGCTAAAACAACTAAAACATGCTTTCTACGAAGCTGTGGCAATCATCTTTATCACTGAATATTTTCAACAAATAACATTGCCTGGTGTTAGGCAGAATAAAATAATAAAGTAGGTTGCATTTATACATAATCAGGTACATTGCATCTTAATGGAGTTAACTGACATGAATTAATTTTCAAGTCCTCAATCAAATATTCTCCCCCTGCTAAATAAAACTAACATAGTCAAAATTCCTCTATTGAAAACATGAGATGTACGTATATTTATAATCATGTCAACATTTTCAAAGGATTCAACTCATACAAGTATTTGATACACAAACTTTTATAAATTAGACAACACAATGAATCAAAGTAAACAACGTGCATCTAAATCATCTTACCGTAAAAATGCAGCTCGAATTGTATTTCTATCAATGCAGGACTGCATTCAGCGAACATTTCGTAGACTTTCTTTCAATTTCCATTTTAACAAGTAAACAACTGATGGACATGGCGCTTTTCTCACATTCTCACAACATTCAAGTTCGACACACAGTAATCTGCTTGGGATCAAGATTAAAGTTTCTTTAGACACGCATTCACACAATGAACAAACAGAAGCTCTTGTCCATTCAATACTGAAACATTCTTCCCTCGAATGCAGTGAAAACTTGCCATTTTAGTTGCAATATTGAAATACTTCTCCAGTTCTGACTTCCGCGAAACCTACTGAACAATGACATGCACTGCCGAGAAATCAATGGGCTCAATCAAGGAGCTCACAAACTTGGACAACAACCTCATCAGTTTCCTTGCAATTAGCCCCAAACAATAGAAAGTTATCATTTGGCTTGCAACACGAGGACCAACGTTAAGGAAACTGACCAGCGTTAAGGAAACTGACCAGCGATGACGTTGATTCATCCCACTTGCCAAATGGCACCCCATCACCACCAACAGCAACTCTGAAATGGCCAACGTCAACTGTCTAAGTAGAATTTAGCAAAGGAAACAAGCAAGGTTTCCAGATTTCTGTATACCCCATATGCACGTGATATACAAGCTCTCCAAATCCAACGCAATAAATTGCACTTTGAAGCACATAAGACCTCTCTTGACAGTATATGGAATGCTTTCAGAAAGGTTCGTAACAGTCTAAAAACCAAGATCAAGGCGGCTAAGCGATCCTTCTACCAAACAGCCTTATCCTCCAAAAAGATCTGGAACGTAATTCATTCCATTTTAAACCCCCCTTCGCAGCCACTTTGACATGACCCAAACAAATTGAAGTTCCATTTTGCTTGCACTGTTCAGTGGACATTGGGCTACACAAATAACGTTAGCAAAAACGATCTCTACACTTACATTGACTCTTTGCCTATTTCCACTGAGCAAAGTTTCAGTTTGAATAAGGTCAGCCAAGCAGAAGTATTAACAGAATTGCATAATCTTCATAATGATAGCTCAACAGGTCCTGACCAAATTCCATCAAAGTACCTTAAAGCAGTTGCTGATATAATTGCAGCTCCTCTGACACACATTGTAAACTCCTGTATTGATGCTAACTCATTTCCCTCTGCTTGGAAGATCTCAAGAATATCTCCCATTCCTAAAACAGAAGCACCAAAGACCCATGATGATTTTAGACCTAACGCAATTCTACCCGTCTTATTCAAGATATACGAAAGACTGGTCCTCAAACAGCAGCTGCCTTTTATCGACAACTCTCTTAACAACAATATGTCTGGTTTTAGGAAAGGCCATTCTGCTGCCACGATCTTGATGGCCATGAGAGACAATATTAAGAGTGCTATGAAAAAAGGAGAACTTACTCATATATGCTTTTAGCAGATTTTTCAAAAGCATTCAATACCATAAACTTTAAGACCGTTCTAAAAAAATTACACTGACTAAATTTCTCCCATGGTTTTTTTATACTGGATAACAAGTTATCCAACAAATCGTCTCCAATATGTTCAAATTGATGACAAAAAATCTAACCTAACTCATGTATGCTTTGGAGTACCACAAGGATCCATACTTGGTCCTTTTATTTTTAACCTATACGTATCTGATGTCAATGCCCCTCAAACCTGTTATCAATATGCGGATGACACACTTCACTGTATGAACATTGTAAAACTGCCAAACTCGATCAATCAGTCGATAATATGCAACAATCGTTGGATTCCCCGAATAATTGGTCCTTACTTTCGAATTTGTCATTAAATCTGAAAAAAACTAAATCAGTGCTGTTTTCTACAGCTCACATGTCACGAGCCCAATGTATAGTATATTTTTATATAAACTTTTGCAGATGTAGAGCCACGCTGTGGAAAAGCTGTAATAAATCATTATTATTATTATTATTCTCTGAAGGAAGATGACAACAAAGATTGGCTACAGGAAGCAGTTCACCACTATCAATATTATTTACAATATGCATAAGATCATTATAAGGGAGAATTTTAGGTATGGATATTCCCCCACTATACAATAATCACTTTATCTGTAGATAACCCTTTTCTGTTATGTTGCCTGTGGAAAAGGTACTTAAGGCTGACATTGCAAGAAATTGGGTATATAAGCCCTCCACACACTAGAAATTTGGTTACGACAGTTATTTACTATCAACTGGGCACGACTAACTTGTTAACAAGTTTCCTTGTTCAAAAAAGAAACTCTTTTGTTGACAGTTGTCGAAAACTGACAAAACAATGGCTTATTGTCAACAAATTTGCAGTCTGTGGAGGCCTTAACAGAAATTTCTACCATTGTCTATTGTTAACCCATATTTCCTGTCAAAATACATTGTTTACTTTACTTTGTCTAAGACCAGATGACTAATGAGCATATAAAAGATAAAAAATCAAACAACAAACATATAACGTAAACCAGTTGCCAAGTTAACTGGTTTACTTTATATGTTTGTTGTTTGATTTTTTATCTTTTATATGCTCATTAGTCATTCAGTAATTCTTGTGCCAAATGAGAAGCTTCGCTCTATCTAAAAATAATACTTACTTTTTCTTTTATCCTTTTATGTTTTTTCCTCAAAGCATTTAATTATTTTGACTTGAAGAGGAAATTTTCCTGTAAGTCTCCTTTGAGCAAGCTCTCCTAAAGGAAACTGCAGATTCTGCAACGTTTTGGTGGTTCGACTGGTTGCTCTCCGTTTCTTGCTCCCCATGACCTAACAATGGCTAGCTCATTGTATCCAACTGAAAAAAATACTAAAATTTGTTCGAAATTTTCATCAGCTAAATAAAATTATAGAGCCCTTTCAAAGAGCAATAGTGACAACTATATTGTGGTTCTATTGTTGTACTTTTTCGATAAAAAGGTGAAAAGCCAGCAAAAAGATTAAGAATATCATGCCAACTAACCTTTCAAAATATACAACATTAACGATCACCATTTTCACAACATATGAACTTCCAACGTGAATAATATACCAAACCGCATGATCTTGATGTCAAAATGATGGTCAAAATGTTGAAGCTCTACTTCGGTCCATCAATCCAAAAATTGTTCTGTGGTCCCTGTTTAAACTGTCAGTATTCTTCCATTGACAAGTAAAATCATCTGGCATTAGGGTGCAATTCCAGTCCTCGCACGAAGCTCTTCACAGCTCGCTGCAACTGCATACATGAGCGCTTTCATCCAATCTCAATGCTTAAGAGAGTAAAATACTAAAGTTAAGGTGCGTTCGGGCTCATTGCCAGATAATGGGTTACAAGAGATAGTGGCAGATAGTACAGTTCTGTTAACCCATTAATGACAAGTTAAATCATCTGGTGTTAGAGAGGGTAACATGCTAACATAGGCACATTGCCAGTTAATTGATTAACATGTTAAGTCAAACAAAATTGGAGTTAGGTTGAATTGATTTCATTAGCACTTATACATTACGGTGCAGTCGCTTACCAAATATAACTAAAAAAGGTAACTTTGGACATTGTTTAAGTATTTCTTCATTGCTGACAGTTTCCTTAATCAGAAAATTAGAAAAAGTAGTAGTCAATTTACATTTCACTTACACAACATTCCTTCAGAAGAACCCTTCTAACAACATTCAAAATGGATAATAAAACTGAAGTAAATTTTTGACTGCTTCAATGTTTTGAGGAGTCTCTTGTACACATCAATGCTTACTTGAGACAAAGTTCTTTTGATTGATTCTCAGCCATGTACATACAGGGTTCGTGCTACTCCTTAAAGTCCTTAAATACTACTTGAATTAGTCCTGCCTTTTCAAGGGCGCTTGAAAAGCCCTTGAAATTTACAGTTTTTAAAAAACTCCTTAAATACTCCTTGAACTCTTCAATGTTTTGCCAACCAGTAAGTGAAACAATAGTTCTAACTTTTGTAAGTTGCCACAGCTATTTCATGATGTAAAAAAATGAAAAACCGACGTTAGATCATAAAGTATTATTGGATACAAATTTGTCAATATTACACCAAGTATTTCGTTTGGGAGCTGCACTGGTCAACAAACCGTGGGCTTGTTCTGGGATCAATTTTTCCGCCATTTTCTGTGATTTTGTTTCGGCAAAAAATGAATTAAACATGCCTGCAGGAGGGAAATGCGTCTTTAATTCAGACTGGCTTACCGATAACAGCTACAAAGGATGGTTACAACATGTAAAGGATGATAAACATGCAACTTTTTCCAAGCTTTGCTGTAAAAATTTCAGTATTTCGAGCATGGCAAAGTCGGCGTAAAAGTCTCACATGGATGGAGCGATGCATAAAAACATGCTAATACGACTTTGGCGACAACTCCTTCAACCACATATTTTATTGCAACGAACAACCAGCAAGTAACCAGCAGTAGTGCGACTGGATCTTTTTCGGCAACGCCTACGAATTCAAATTCAAGCATGGGTGGTAGTGGAACTGGAAGTCGTAGTGAAGCCAACATTAGTCAAACGAGTGGTAGTAGTAGCACTGCTCAGTCTTCAGGTCTGCACCATCTTTCAACCCTCGGCAAAAAGGTTGCTGACGCAGAAATTTTGTGGACATTGAAAAGTGTTCATTCACATTTTTCCGCACATGCAAACATGGGTATGAATGATTTATTCCAACATATGTTTACTGATAGTGAAATTGCTCAAGCATATTCACTGAGCGAGTCAAAATTTAGATACATGACAACATTTGGACTTGGTCCGTATTTTTCCAAGAAACTTGTGGAAGACATAAACAAATCCACCACCCATTCTGTTTTATTCAATGAGTCCCTTAATGAACATCTCCAGAATAAACAATTTGATGTTTATGTGCGCTATTGGTCTGATGAAAGCTGCAAGGTAGATTCTCATTACCTTGCGTCACTATTCATAGGACATGGTAGAGCTGCTGACCTACTCAATCACTATGAAGATGCTACCAAAGATCTTGAGCCAAACAAGACCTGGCACGTTGGTATGGATGGTCCTAATGTAAACCTTGCATTTGAAAGAGAGTTAAAGAAATCTCGTGAAGAGATGGGCCTACCACCCTTGTTGTCACTGGGAACATGTGGATTGCACACTGTTTACAGGGCATTTCAGACTGATGCAAAAGAGACTAACTGGAATTTAGACAGGTAATGTTAGAATTATGTAGTCAACTTTTAAAAACAACGTAGCTGAACATCTTTTTACTGTGTTTAAAGACCGTGCATGTAAAGTCCGTTCTGCGCAGGCCTACATTCCAATGATGAGGACCTCACCATTGGAATGTTGATAATATTTAGTATGTTTCGAACTTTCTTGAATTGAAACTCTAGCTTGTATATGATTATAACCATTGCGAACCAGAAAAATGTTAATAAATCCAGCATAATATATGTGTAATCATATTTTACAAATATAGCACTGAGTTCAAAATGTAAACAAAATGTTTGTTTACATTACGGACTTTACATGGCCTTTAAGTCGATATTTTAAACTATTTAAAGCTATTTAAAGACTCGCCAGCTAGACGTGAAGACTTCATAACCTACACTGGAGTGGACATATTTCCATCAAAGTTTTACAACCACAGGTAGGTTTCAGCTAATTTTAAGCAACACGTATATTACGTTGTTTTATCCTATTTCTTAATGTCATATTCAATAATATCTGAACTAACAGGTGGCTGGAGAACCTTCCTGCTGCTACTAAGTCGTTGACCCTCCTCCCAAATATGAAGGAGTACTGTGCTCAAGCCATTACCCACAAGACAGAACCCAAGAAACATGAAGGGTACAACATTGTGAAAAAGGCAGTTACAGCAGACAAATTTCTCAAAGCCAAACACCACTTCTGGATCTCTTTGGCTCAAGATTTCCAACCCTTTCTCCAGGTTTACCAGTGTGAAAGACTTATGATACCATTCCTTGCATCTGATCTTGAGAAATTGCTCAGGGCAGTGATGGCTAGATTTGTGAAGAGGGATGTGATGCAATCTGCCACTGGTTATTATCTCAAGTTAGTAAAGGTAACTAATATTATATACTTTATTATTATAGATTTGTGGTATATAAGTTGACATAGGTTTTAAAACGTTTGGGCCCTATCAGTTGTTCCTCATAAAGTCGAACAAAATGATGTTATTAAGGTGGATGTGTCCTCAAGTGAGCAGGCAGTAAGCAGCAATCAGGTTGATGTTGGTATTGTTACAAAGAGGGAGTTAGCAAGCTGAAAGAGGAAAAGGAAATTTCGCAGAGAGAGAAGCTAGAATTTGATATGAGCTGCAAAGCATTCCTTTGCCGTACCACAGGAAAACCACTTGAGAAATGTCCGTTGAAGTTTGCAGTTGTGAGGCACCTTAGATGTCTCGATCCTCGAGTCATGGCAGGACAGATTGAAACTTCAGTAAAGTTATTTGAAAGGCTCCTGACATGTCTCATTGATAATCAAAGGGTACGAGAAGATGGTGCAGACGTGTTGAAGAAGCAGTATTCATCATTTGTTACTGAAGTTGTTCATGGAAATGCAGCCAACTTACTTCTGTTCCAGAAGTATGATCGAGTAAAAGATGAACGCATTGACTCCTTTCTTGCTGCATATCTGAAAGAAAGTTCATACAAGCAATTATGGGAACTAGTAAAGTGCCTTCTCGTTGTTTCTCATGGTCAGGCTGGTGTAGAGAGGGGATTCAGCGTTAATAATGAAATCATGGCATACAACTTTAAGGAAAGATCAGTTGTTGCCTTGAGAGTAATTTACGACCACGTTCAAAGCTGTGGGAGCAGTTCTGAACGTCAAGATTGACCAAGAACTTAGAAATGCAGCAAAGAATGCATCATCACGGTATAAGGCTGAGTTGAAGAAGCAACAAGAAGACGAAAAGCGTATGATTAAAGAAGATGAAAACAAGGCGATCAATGATGAAATATTTTCCCTCAAACGGAAAAGGAAACATTTGTTAGAAGATTGTTGCACCCTTCGTTCCAGCTCAGAGAAGCTAATGGATCTCGCTGAGAAGGAGCAAAAGATGATTCATGTCACAGAGGCTAATAGTTACAGGCATACAATAAAAAGCATGGAAAATGAAGCTGAGCAGGTTCATGAAAAAGTAGAACAATTAAAAAAGAAACTTAAAAAATTACGTTACTTGACAAGTATACTCGGCTACCGTGTACAGTTTAACTGTAACCATGCAAGAACTGTTCAAAGACTCGAATAATTACATTCACAGGTTCTTTCTCGTTATACTGTAGTCTTGGTATTAAAAAAGATTACAAGAACCTTTTTGGCTTAACGTAACCGCTTGCTTTGTTAGAATGCATGCCATGTTGAATTAATAAAAGCCATCAAACTTGGATGGCCAGTTACTTTCTGTTATACAATTTTTCTTTTAAGCATGATGAATTCCACAAGTATTTATTGAATGCAGGGTTTAGTAGTAGGTAGGTACATTTTTACTGACACGAGCAAGAGAGGGGGGGGGGCATTATTTTTCCAGGTTATGGCAAAGCAGGGTCACAAAATATCATTCCTTCAAATTTTGAATTACACCTCCCTACCCCCCTGATAAATTATGACCAGTCCCTTAATGGTGGATTCTTCAACAGATGGATATGTTTCTTGAATGTCATCAAAACAGGCTCTGAGCTAATTCTACTGAATTGGCTCCACTCACCTCTCCCGGTTGATCTGTTTGAGTACCATGATATACTTATCTTGTTCTAACCACAATAGTTTGTCGTTAACCATCAACCATCTGACAAAGCATAACAGCCTGATTTGTCACATGGGTTGGGTGTCGTTTTATCACAGGTAACATAATGCAGTGGTAACTTTGTTGATGGCAATGGCTTGCATAACTAATTGGCTATCTCGCGGTCACACCATATCTCTGCTGCCCATAGTATTTCCTGAAATTGTTTTATTTGTTATTCTTGGTCTGCAATAGCATTTCTGATTAGTTGATCATGTAGAAAACTCTTACCTGGAACTGTTTCATGCTATGCCCAAATTCTCCAACATCAGAGCCTGTAAAAGAATGTGAGGCCACCACGGTTTCATAATGCACCACTGCACATTTGGTTTACAACAGTTAAAGCAATGCCTATCAAATTTTTCATAACAGCAATTCCTTGATCTTCCCTTTTCTCGCATTCTTGATAGAACTAAATAATGCATTTGACATTTGTTTGTGCTACTGCACTAGCAATTTTCCATAAGAAAGATAGGAATGCTTGTAATGTGCGGGGTCTTAGCTGCTTCCATCAACACCAAGACTTGTTGCATGTGGCACAATACACTTTAAAGATGTTTGCATTGACTTTGGGTCACCTTTATTTTGGTTGACTGCTACCATGAAGCAGTTCACAAGGTTATCAATTGCCTTAGTTGACAAAGTGGAACAGTTTGGAAATTTTTTCATGCTTGCAAGATTGTGAAGTCTGGATGTCAAAGATTGTTTTATGTGGATGATATCACAAAACTTTTCAATATCATATGGAACTTGTGCACCCCTGTGTATGTTGCATGCTGGCATTGTGCTTTGTTATGGTATTAAATAGTTACACTGCTGCTGTTGGTTCCATTCCTTTTGACGAACCACTGTGATTATTGCGACAATCATGCTTTTGTGGTGCTACATTGTTTTTTTGGCATGCTGACATGTTCTGCATGTTTTGGTGTCATAAGCCCTTCCCCCTTTTTTGCCACCCCATGTTGTATGAACTCGAAATTGGTAACAGATTATTTTCATCTGGTGTTTTGCCATTAATAATTCTTGTTTTTCTTTTTCTATAGTTACAATGCAAGATTGTTGTGCACATACTCAACTGCTTTGCTAGGCTTCACGCTATCTTGTTTTCCATGAAGACCTACTCATTGCTGGAATATTCATAACCGATAAAATTCCCCTCATGTGAGTTTCACCAATCCCAGTATGAAGACCAGCTAAAGCTGCTTTTGTGTTGATATTGTGTAGACAGTTGCACCTGTAACTGCAGACTTGTGAGCCAGTGATGTTTCAACGTCATTAATTATGTTATAACATCCTTCCCCTAATAAGTTTATAACAAAAAAAGTTCAGCAACTTTCAATAAACCTGTCTGGCTTCTTTATCAACCTCTGGGACCTTCGGGTTGTCGGTTCAGGAGGCTCCATAGTTTTACAAATTTACAAGTTTAACACAATCCCAAGCAAAACAATCCCTTATATATGTTGGGGTGCCCCAAACCATTTCCAGGGCCTGCTGATCTATAGTTCTCTAAATGTCTGGACCATCTTGGTTATATATTCATCATGGCGGACAGTTCTAATTTTGTGAGCTCTACAAAATTCCATCAAAATATCCCGAAAATATGGAACGCTAAAGAAATTTGTAATCATATAGCTTCTTCCAACTTAAGTTATGATAGTAAACGAATTAAATGGATTGGAACTTTTGATATATTGCAGAAATTTGTCGAATGCGATCTTAAATTGGATGGCAAATGGTCTTCGCCAGGCGGTTGTTCTAAAAAGTTTACGTGCTATAATCTAGATATATCAATAACTTGGTACCCCAAGAAACTAAATACACTTGTATTTCACGGTGAGGAAAGCTCGGGTTTGGTTGACGCGTTAATAAATGTGTGTGCAGAGGCAATCTCTGAAGACGACGGTTTGTCAAACAATGTATGTGTGTCGGCCATACATAGTTCGATTGCAACTATAAACCCAGCTGTTGATGAACCTGAACAGATGTCTAATCACTGTATTAAGGACTTTGAACTAACTGATAATCATCAAAAGGTCAGTATAGAGCATGATTTCAAACTTGGCTGTCAGTGTAGAATTTCAGCTGCTGATTTGGAGGGAGTTAAGCTCGATATAGCAATCATGTGCAGGGACATAGAAACTAAGTTTCTTGCAGCTTACAATTCACGGGATAGTGATAGTGGACAAATAAGTGAACTTAAACACGCCGCGAGCTTCTTAAGGAAAAGGAGAAATGTAGTCAGTTGGAGGCTGATATATCTATTTTGGTTCGAGGAAGGAATAGGGAGATAAACGAATTAAAAAATACCATTACCTGTCTTGAAAACAAACTTAAATCAAGCAATGTCATAAATGAATCTCTAAGACAATCGCTAATGCAAATTAATTCAGAACTCAATGGTGTATTGAGTGCCGAACAAAGCCTGTCAAACCAACCTGAACAAATTAATACTTATAACTACATTATAGACACTACAAAATCGATAGAAACTGCAAATTCAAACCTAGGAATTTGTTTACCAGATGAACCATTTATTCCCGAAACTGTCAGCGTTGAAAGCCCCCTTGATAATTCATGTTTAATTGTCCAACCAGCAAGTTGTAATAGAACCAACAATAAACTCGACAACAAATGTGAAATAAACAAAGTGAAGTTAACGGAGCATAATATGAATAATGACAAAATCAGTAAAGCTAAGGTCTCGCGAAGTTACTCTCGACGCAATCTTAATTCTCCCCCTTACTGTGAGCCATTGTCGCTGAAATCGCTTGGAAACTTGCCTCTTATCGAAATATCCAAGCCATTTATAACTCAGAAGAGGAAAACCTTTTTGGAAAGCCCATCAAATATATTGAATGATAATACAATTAGCACTGAGACAGTTACTCAGCACGTGTGCATTGGCCAAATACCAGCTGATATCTCTGAATTTATTGTCTTAGACGGCGATGAATGCATGTCTGAGTGTGACAATACTGATAACTGTCCTTTTCGGCAGAGCTTTCTGGAGCGTCCCCCGCCCTTGCCTCATGTTCGAAGAGCGGAATGGTTGGCGCATTTAAATCTTGTTCGCCGGCTGACGGCAAAGTAAATTCTAAAGAAAATGAAAGAGAATCACATGAAAATTACAGTTCGATTCTCGTTGAACTTCTTGTTCAAAAAATTCCTGTGAGAATAACCCATCGCGTATCAAACTTTCAAAGAAAAATAAATGCAAAACCTAGTCAATTAAGAACACTACAGCTTTGTCCTGAACAAATGCAAATGGAAATCAATCGGTTTCAGTACCAGGGAAAAGTTTCAACCGCAGAAATACGCTTTTACGCTTTGCTTGTGTTAATTCGCGCTCTGTAAGGAACAAGATCGCCGTTATCATTGATCATATGGTTGATAGCGGTATTGATATATGTACTATCACTGAAACGTGGTTGAAGGAATATGACTCTGTCAGCATTGCTGGACTATCTACTGCAGGATTTGTGTTTAGATCTTTGCCAAGACAGTCTGGTAGAAGTGGTGGCGGCACGGGTATTCTGTGCAAAGAATCGTTAAATGTAAAATCCAGTGACTGTGGGGAATTTAATTCGTTTGAATTCTCGGAGTGGAATGTTTGTGTGCACAAGCAAACCATGAAAGTGGTGACAATCTATCGACCTCCTTACTCGGAAGATCACCCGGTTTCACCAAATGTGTTTTTCGAAGAGTTTTCATCATACTTGGAGAACATCGTTATGATTCCCGAAGTACTCTTGATTACAGGTGATTTTAATTTTCACGTTGATTGTCCAACCGAAGCAGATGCGAAAAAGTTTGCGGACTTAATGAATACGTTTGGACTTATCCAACATGTTCATGTCCCAACTCATTCATCAGGTCATACCCTTGATTTGATTATCACTAGATCAATCGATGATGTCACAATCACCTCTCCTTTTGGCGACGTTTGCTTTGTCTGATCATTTTTTTGTTGAATGTTTGTTGGATATTCCTCGCCCAAACATCCCAGTTAAAGAAGTTTGCTATCGCAAAGTTAAACATATTGACCTCAATGCCTTTAAAGCTGATATATGCGCCTCATATCTATTTCAGAAAACTTGGTCAAGTGTTAATGATATGTCAAAATGCTATGATATTACCCTACGTTCTATTCTCGATAAGCATGCTCCTTTGAAATCGAAAGTTATGACTGTTCGACCAATGGTTCCTTGGTTTAATGATAGTTTAAAGAAGCTGAAAGCTAAACGTAGGAAACTGGAAAGAATCATGCTTAAATCGAAACTTGAATGTGATAAGAATGCTTATCGTAAGGTACACGATGACTACGGTGCTATATTGAATGACACCAGAAAAATGTTTTATTCCAACCTTATTGACAAATCTGCTGGTGATTCTAGAAAATTATTCCAAATTGTGAACTCTTTGAGCAAAGAACGTCTAGTTGAGGAGTTTCCTGAAAATCGCGATCCTTCCATCCTTGCTAACGAGTTTGGTGAGTTCTTTTGTAAGAAAATTGAACTCGTGAAATCAAAGATTGACGAGATTTCCATTAACCCACCTAATGTTCCATTTCATCTGCCTGAAGTGAAATTGGATGAATTTTCTTCGGTTTCTGAGGATGAAGTTCGGAGGATTATCCTTAAATCTTCGAATGCTTCCAGTAAGTTGGACCCTATTCCTACATCATTGGTTAAACTCTGTTGTCATGAATTGGCCCCAATCATCGCTGAAATCATTATTCTCTCTTTCTCTGAAGGAATTGTACCCGATCATTGGAAAATAGCGCTAGTTCTACCTCTATTGAAGAAAGTTGAGCTTGATTTTATGTTTGAAAACTTCAGACCTATAAGCAACCTGCCATTCGTTGCCAAGTCTGCTGAGAAGGCAACGATCTCTCAGTTATCTATACATTGTGCTGAAAATGCCCCTTTTCCCGAGTATCAATCAGCGTATCGGAAAAATCACTCAACAGAAACAGCTTTACTAAAAGTCCAGAATGACATTCTCCTCAGTATGGATCGGCAGGAGGTTACGCTTCTTGTGCTTATCGACCTAAGTGCCGCATTTGATACTATCGACCATGCAATCTTACTGGAGACACTTGAAAAAGACTTTGGCGTAACTGGAAATGCCCTCAAATGGCTAACATCTTATTTATCCGAGAGAAAACAAACAATTTTAATTAAAGACCATGAATCGGAAGTTTTCAATCTTCAATCGGGAGTTCCGCAGGGTAGCTGCCTTGGCCCTGTCCTCTTCATACTCTATGTGCCTGGGTTATTGACAAACATCTTCCCAATGCACATACGTATGCAGATGACACCCAGATTTATCATTCGTTTCGGCCGGATACATCTTTATCGCAAGATGCTGCACTAAAGAGTATTGAAAACTGTGTTGCTGACATCCGTGCCTGGATGCTTTCTAACCGTCTCTTGATAAATGATTCCAAGACTGAATTTATTATCATCGGTTCAAAGCAGCAAATGTCAAAGATTAACATCAATGAAATTACAGTTGGTGAATCTACAATCGAGCCTGTGGAGGTGGTTCAAAGCCTCGGAATGTGGTTTGACTCACATATGTCGATGGATATTCACATTGGAAAAGTGTGTAGTAAGGCGTTTCACAGCCTCTATAATATCCGGCAGATAAGGAAATTCCTTTCAGAAGATACAACAAAGATTTTGGTTCATGCTTTTGTTACTTCACACCTGGACTACTGTAACTCATTGTTTTATGGTCTCCAACAGTCTCAATATGATAGGTTACAAAGAGTTCTCAATGCTGCAGCATGTGTGGTCTGTCTAATCCCCAAATTCGATCATATTACTCCCGTTTTGATTGGCCTTCATTGGCTTCCTGTACGGTATCGGGTGATTTTCAAGATTTTTAAAAGCAGACTTAAGAGTCCGTCTCTGTAATTTCCGACCACTCGATACTGGTTCAAAAATAAACCCAGCCTTAAACTTTGTGTGTGAATTAAGAAACCCTTGCTTATCATCAATACAAAAGGGGTTTGTTTCAAATTTCAAAAGATTTCGATATTTGGGCAATTTTACGTGTGTACGTCGAAGCACGAAATTAGCATCGCTGCAACACACAAAAATTAGTCATCTTTGTTACGTTCTCGCGCTCTCAAAAATGATTCAATCCGAGATATACTCTGCAGGCCTGCAGTTTATTACACTAGCTCAGCATTTATGAACTCAAACTTTGGATGTCTTAAAACAACTTGGAGATAGTGCCGACTATAAATACGCGGCTAATCGACCGGGTGAAAAAGTAGCATTTCTAAATATATATTTTCTCCATACTGGCACAACTCTACTTATCAAGAGTTGTACACGCTTAATAATTACGAATAACAGCACTAGTTTCCGTAAAAACATCCATGGCTATCATCACTGGGACAAAATAAAACAAATTTGAAATGTGAAGATTTTACATACCTGCGCACGCTAGTTACGGCAATTTACATTCATAATTATCCGCTACAAATCGTAAAACAATCGCACATCAAATAGCTCGGAACAGTGGCTAATACTGCAAAATGTGTTGAAGTCAAGTGTCATTGTGTCAAGATGTAATGCGAGACTGTAGAAAGTCTCGCTTCATCATCTCCTTGCCGATACAGCGGCGCCACGTTTATAGCCGTTTTATTACAACTGTAATTCTATCCATCCTCCAAATTTGAATCCACAAAGAAAACAGGATCCTCCAGAGTACATAACAGCATAACTGTATTCAAATGCAGGCTGGCTGTATAAACTGTTCAAAGTCCATGATGTCCATCTAATTTGCAACAAATTCAATGCGACGTTTCATAGTATTTTGACATTTACGTTATCTGATAAACAAGTTTGTGCCAGTGCTTCCACAACCACCTCTTCAAATGTCCTTTCACATTCAATTTCATAATCTCAAAATTTCTCTGCCACCGAAGACAAAAGAAAGAAAATTCAGGCAAATTTGAGTCAATTTATCATAGCACATGTTTTAAAAATAAGTCATACTGTAAGTACCCTCGATGTAGCCCCGGCGCAATGCTTGGCCCCAAGTAGGTCACATCCATTTTCGCTTTTGCATATATTAAACAGCGATAATTACACATCTTAGCGCAAAATGTGTTGAAGTCAAGTGTCGTTGTGTTGAGAACACTTTCAAGGATTTCTTTATGTTGCGAGACTGTGGAAAGAAAGATCGCTTCATCACCTCCATGCTAACCTGAACTTCAGGTTACCTCCATGCCGATACAGCGGCGCTATGTTTATGGCTGCTATCCAACTTCCAAAGCGGCCATAAAAACACAAAACAGCGTCCTCCATAGACATAATTTTACTCGAATGCAGGCTGTACAAACTGCATGAAGATGATGCATTTGTAACAAATTGAATGGGAACTTTATTTTGACATTGCGTTCTTTCTAATGATAAACAAACTTGCCAATTTTCGCCTTGTTTACCGTCGCTTGCAACTAGAGGTGAACAGTTGCGGTCGCGGATAAAAAATTGTCTATTCGCGTGAGAATCTTTATTACCATTTGCAAGCAACCGTTCGGCCGAAACATTTTTACGCGTTGTTTTACACTTGAAACATGCACTGGAAAATCCGCATGCTTTTTCGTGAATATTATAGAAACCACAGTTTGAACTTTGACTAGAACTAGCCATTGCTATAAAGGATATTAACGAACTGTCCTCAGTGCTTCCACTTCCTTTTGCAAGCTTGTCTAAAATTTCAGGTAATGTAATTATATTTTCGAAGTTTATGCGTGGACTTGTCTGCGTCAAAACAGAGAGCTTTATATATTGATTAATACTGTCGATTCTTTGCGCTAAAATGTGTAATTATCGCTGTTTAATATATGCAAAAGCGCAAATGGATGTGACCTACTTGGGGCCAAGCATTGCGCCGGGGCTGCATCGATGGTACTTACAGTACAACTTAATTTTAAAACATGTGTTGTGATAAATTGACTCAAATTTGCCTGAATTTTCTTTTCTTTTGTCTTCGGTGGCAGAGAAATTTTGAGATTATGAAATTGATCATGAAAGGAGATTTGAAGACGTGGTTGTGGAAGCACTGGCGACAACTGACCAATGCCACAGCCAATGCAACTGACAAGTTTGTTTATCAGACAACGCAAATGTCAACATGCTATGAAACGTCGCATTGAATATTTGAATTTGTTGCAAATTAGATGGACATCATGGACTTTGAACAGTTTATACAGCCAGCCTGCATTTGAATACAGTTATGCTGTTATGTACTCTGGAGGATCCTGTTTTGTTGCTCACAGACAATGGATTGTAGATCAATGTGAACCAGGCTTTAGAGTGTTTATGTCAACAATTCTGCTGCCCTGAGGTAGGTTGTTTGTCTTCTATATTTCTGACGCTGTAGGCTGCACTGTTTTCCATCCTTCGGCGGGATGGTTCGAAGGTTTTTTGCAAATGGGCGCGAGAGTTTGCCAGATTAAATATTGGCAAGAGTTTGCCAGATGCAATATGGGCGAGTGTTCGCCAGATAAAATATATGGGTGAGAGTTTGCCAGATAAAATATATGGGCGAGAGTTAGCCAGATAAAATATACAGGCAAGAGTTAGCCAGATAAAATATATAGGCAAGAGTTAGCCAGATAAAATATGTTGGCGAGTGTTTGCCAGATAAAATATGTGGGCGAGTGTTTGCCAGATAAAATATGTGGGCAAGATTTTGCCAGATAAAATATGTGGGTGAGAGTTTGCCAGACATAAATTTATATGGGTGAGTGCTCCTCCGAAATTGATTATGCCGGTATAATTGCTATGAATATCGTTACGATGCGAGTGTTTGCTGAGTATTGTGTATTCCTCGATCATCCTTATAATGGGATTATGACAGGACAATTGCTATGAATGTAGTTAATATGTGTGAGCAACTGTTTGCTTAGTATTGTATGGGCACATGTTACAGTACCGCCCGCGTAGCATACCCATATTATAAGCGTATGCTATGCATACGCTATCCAAGTGATATGCGTATGAAGTGCGTAGGATACGCATATCTTAAGATTACGTTGCATGTATCTCATGATTAAGATACGCATATCGTAAGATTACGATACGTGTGTCTCATAATTACGACACGCATATCTTAAGATTACCATACGCATATACACAACCATTATAATGCGTATAGTGGGCAGACACAGTATATGTATATCTTATACGCATGAAACTGAAACGCAAAATGCGTCGTTTTATAGATTTGAATAATAATAAAAATGCTTGTGTGATGTTACTCTGAGTGTATATCCACACGGCACTCAGATATACACTCAGAGTAACATCACACAAGCATCTTATTCACCTGAATACATTACACCAACACAACAAATATCAATAATAAAAATATCTAATATGATATTCATTGGAATTACAATACATGAATATGGCTATAAGTAGAAATCCAATAAAATAAAGATCATACTACAATTATATGAAAACATGCATGTAAAAAGCACTAATCAATCACTGAAAAGCTCTGCTTTAACTAAAAGTTTATAGTCCTTGCACTATTTTTTAAAGTTGTGTTAAAATGTTTAGTAGGGCCTGTACATAGCAATCAGTCATTTAATGACCTTATAATCATAGAAATTGTTTAGATTAGTCATGTAGGCTTTCAAGACAGCACTGCCACTGGGCATTTTAAAATACTTCATTTTTCAAATTATACATGCATGCATGTATTAATTAAATTTCTCTCATCAAATGATTAACTTTAAACCAGTTAGCTTTTTGCACTATACTCTATAGCGGCATAGTTTTTTAGAGGAGGGGCGGCAATATGACAGCATTTTATGGCTGTGTCATCTAACTGATATAAAAACAAGGCAGAAAATTATTAATTACAAAGTATGTACCAAATCGACGTTTAAATGATGGTACTGATGAATTATTTGATAACTCCAATGATTTAAACTCCTTTTATACTACATTAAAAACTAATGTTCAATGTGTGCTATGCATGCGAGCTCATTGATTACACATATGCGTATATCTGTTGGGTATATACGCATATCTGTTGGGTATATACGCATATCTGTTGGGTATATACACGTATCTGTTGGGCATGTACGTGTATATATTGGGCATATACGCGCATATCTGACTAGATGATATAAATACGCGTACATCACCCGCATGTATATCATACTGGCCATCGCCACTGACGCCACAAAAACGAAGATGCCAGGCACGCGAATTCCGCTTTATGCGAAAGAACAAATAATGATGCTTCACAAGAAGGGCAAAAACGTTTCCGAGATTAGCCGTGACTTGCACATGTCAGAATGTCCTGTGAGCAGGCAGTCGATTTCAAAATTCATCAAGTGGTCGGGCGGAGACCTAAAAATGCTGCTGCAATTTAAAGGACAAACTTATAATCCCAAAAGGGTGCTAACGATGGAACACTATGAATATATTGATTGTGAAATGGCTAAAAACTACAAACTATGTGCCGTAGGTAAGAAAATTTCTCTTGTTTTCTAATGAAATTGAGAACTGCAGCAACGAATGTGAATATGTGGTTTATTCTTGATATTACTTCATTCTAACGAGCCTTGTGTGTATTTACTGAACATTACGTAATGATTGATTATTTATTCTTTTATTTTAGATCTTTGCAAAATGTTGCAGGGACAGTTTTTCCTCAACGTCTCCGAGGCAACCGTCAAGAGAGCCAGGAAAAAGCTGGGTTGGATAAAAAGCGGGCCAAAATACTGTCAGTTGGTCAGAGAAGAAGAACTGAGTAGCCAGGCTGACATTCTGCCAAAAAGCCAATAATTGCAATGATAATTTTTCCAATGTCATATTCACTGACGAGTCTTCGATTTTGATGGAATCGCATGCAAAAATTTGTTTCCGATGAATTGGGGAACTCCCAAAGCATAAACCAAAAGTAAAGCATCCACACAAAATTCATGTCTGGGCAGGGATAAGCACACGTGGTGCAACCGATATCCTTCTGTTTACAGGCATAATGAGGAATGAATTTTATGTAGACAAAATTTTACGTGGCCAGCTCCTGCTGTTTATCAGGTCTATCAGCGAATGTTTTCCAGAAGGAAATTACAGATTTCAACAAGACAATGACCCAAAGCACAAAAGTAAGTGCATAGGCCGGCACCTATACTGATGATTTCACAAAACGCACATGAAATCTTAATGACGTAATAATTTTGCCAGGCTCAAAGGAATTTATGACTGGTTGAATTTTTTCTACAAGTTAAACACTGATCAACACTATAGATAAGATTAGTAAGTCAGAAAATCAGTAACTGATTTCTAGATCTTATATAGTTTCTATATAATGTTTCCCATTTTGTATCATTTTAGGTCACCTTGCTATCGAATTCTTGGCAAAGGAGAAAATTATTTATTGGCCAACTCCTCCTGAGAGTCCATGGCATGAGACGAAACGGCCCTACAGCTTTTGCTAGCACATTGTTTCGGAAATTATTTAGTTATGATGACATGAAAGGAAGAAATTGTCGAGGTCTTGCCAAAAAAGGAAAGTTGGATGAAAAAATATGGAAATAATCCAAGAACAAATATACAAATACTATCCAAACACTCCAGAAAATTTGCAAAGTACTTGGGCCCGGTGCATACAAACAATAGACTCCTATATCAGGAATAAGCAGTGCAAGTTAGAGCAAGGACAGAAATAAATAATTAATAATTATATATAGACTAGTTTTATTGCTTCTGTAAACTGCATGATTTATATATTAAAATGTAATATTTACACCCTTTATGTTTTCTACGCAAACTGCAATTTCTTTTCGACTTAATAGTTGATACATCCATGCATGTTCAGATAGCAAATCTGATATTTTTTGAACGAACGTTCATATGGAATAATTCCATAAATGCGAACACTTGTGCTTTGTTTTTCATCTCGTGATCCATCATGTTAAAAACTTGCATCATGCCATCTAAGTATAAAGATACTGAGCAGTTCAATTGACCACTTGCGTAAAAGGCTAAATTTTGATCTCAACAAATCTAGACAAAACTTTTCATCACAGCTTGAAAGAGCATCATAAAATTGGTAATATTCCAAAGTTTCTTTGCGAAATGTTGTAATATGCGGATAATATAGCCTTGCGAAGTTTGCAATTTTCAGTCATTTTAGATTACAAACAGGAAATTGACAGCCCAATACCCTTTGGAATACAAAATGACTGAAAAACGGCAAACTTCGCAAGGCTATATTATCCGCATTTTACAACATTTTGCAATGAAACTTTCGAATATTACTAACTTTGTGATGCTCTTTCAAGCTGTGATGAAATTTTTGTCTAGACTTGTTGAGATCAAAATTTTTGGCTATTACTCAAGTGCATCTCTTATAACATAAATTTTTGCAGGCATCTCTTATAACATTCATTTTGACTTGTTTAAGTTGTCTCACTTGAAAGTAAAACAAGGCTACTACCACTGCTTGCGATTTGTTGATTTGAAATGCAGAGAAGAAAGCTGTTAAAATTTATAGCAAATCTAAATGAAGAAGTCCTATTGTATCTTACTAAAAGGGGAGTTTAAAATAACAGAAATAAGTAAATGATTATTACTACCTGTATAGTGAATGACATTTAACACATTTGCATTTGGTTTTAAGACAACCTTACCAGGCCATGTTTTAACAATTGTTGGACGTTTTCTCTTACCTTGTCATTCCTTCTCAAAAGGAGTCACTTTCAGGTTCCTAAATATAATTTAAAAATGTCACTTGTACTGTAATTATGGATCCTATTCATTGCGTCAAATGCAAAAGTTTCATTGTCCCTGTTCAACAAGCTCATGCCGAAAACATTTGCCTTTTCTGGTACGGGGAAAATGTTCACAATACAGGAAATGATATATCTCAAGAAGAATTCCCCAATGGTTACGCCATGTACGCATTTGATTTAACACTGGATATGTGTGGAGCCTCTCCTCATTTTAAAGTGGTGCAGAAAGAAAACCTAGTCATTGATATTCAGTTCTCTGTAGCGCCTGCAGCCGGAGTCTTGTGTGTTACAGAGAGTTTGAAAATACCGTTCACATTGATTCCAAAACAAACATTGTCTATGATTACTCTGGATGAACACTGCCCAAATAACCCATGTCTTGGAACAAGATCCTATAACAAGCAAAAAGTTTTGCGGCATGTTCCCTAGTGACAAGCTGCCACAGATATCTGTGTGGATTTGTTGCGAACACTGATCCAAGCAGTGAACCTGGGACCCACTGGGTGGTGACTTCCCATTTGGATACTTTACTTCCCATTGGAAGAGAAAGGAAAATTCTTTGACAGTTACCGACATGCTCCAGAGTACTATAGGAAATCGTTTGGGGACTAAGAGATGTAAATTGCAAAGTGCTTGGTTGGATGTATGTGGCCAGTATTGCATATTTTACCTTAACCATAGAGCAAGAGGTCTGAGCATGAGTAAGATTGTACATTTGTTTAACAATGATACAAGGCCGGTTTACACGACCAGTGTTTTGGGCACGGCACCCCTAAAAATGGGCACCCGTGCCCAAAATTTTAGGCAAGGCACCTCTGCCTTTTGGCGTCTAAACGTGACAAAAATCGGCACTGGTGCCGCAAAATTTAAACGTGCAGAGACTTTCTCACGAGGTAGTCTCGGCACGTCTAGCAAGGGGTGCCGTGCCCAAATTTCAAAAAAACTAAAAAATGTGTTCGACAGCTAGCATGCGTAAAACAAATTGTCCTCTTTCCAACATGGCAGCAAGCGGCGAAAAACTACAACTTGCCAAAAATTTAAATAAAACAAAGTTAAAAAACAAATTTAACACAGAATGTGAATGTTGCTCTAGTTGACTCGGAAATTTTGATACCACTGTTCGTCACTGAATAGAGCAGTAACTAGGTCGTAGCAAATAGCTGTAGTTCGATGCGTCCATACCTCTCGAATTCGTGGCGGGTGAATACAAGATGGCACAACATTAATGCGAGAAAACAACTCCTTTCGTCTTTAAGGGCCTGTTCATATGGGCAAAGGTTATCCCGGTTAACAAGAAAACTTTTCGACTAACCAAATATACTTTTGTTCTGTTCACATGCATGGAGAAACGTTATTCCGCTTACCGGGTAAAGTTTCCGGCTGTGACATAGCACTGAATATCAATTGAATTGAAAAGTTACTGTCATGACAGAAAGCTATCCTGCCAAGCGGTTGTGTTCATATGGGAAAAACATTATCACTTGACAAGCGAGATCTCGGTACATACACGGGAAAACGTTTTGTCTTATATGAACGCAGTGTAAACTAACTTTTCATATTATTTTCATACCAAGGCGAGATCTCGCTTGTAAACTTTTCGAAAAGTTTTTTCACTAACCAGGATAACCTTTGCCCATATGAACTGGCCCTTAAAGTACGTTCCTAGTATTGAATTGGTTTTCCCCTCAATTTTCGGCTCATATAATATTCTTCTTCGTTCCAATAAATATAAATATATAATTCTATTTCTGGCCGGCATATTTATTCTTTAAAATATACCGTCGTAAATGGAAAATAGAGGTGCCGTTTTCTGATGGGCACGCATTGAATATCAATTGAATTGAAAAGATGCTGATACGACAGAAAGTTATCCCGCTAAGCGGTAAAGTTGTGTTCATGCATATGAGAAAAACATTATCCCGGTCACCGAGATCTGGCTTGTCAACAAGCGAGATCTCGGTACACAGGAAAACTTTTTGTGTCATATGAACGCAGTGTAACTTTTCATATTATTTTCATACCAAAGCAAGATCTCGTTTGTAAACTTGTCGAAAAGTTTTCTCGCTAACCGGGATAACTTTTGGCATTTTGCCCATATGAGCTGGCCCTTAAAGTACTTTTCTAGTATTGAATTGGTTTTTTGCCTCGATTTTGGGCTCATATAATACTCTTCTTCATTCCAATAAATATAAATATATAATTCTATTTCTGTCCGACATATTTATTCTTTAAAATATACCGTCATAAAACGGAAAGGAGAGGTGTCGTTTTCCGATGGGCACGGTGCCTATCATAAAAGTGTGTTTACAAAATGTTGTTGTGTAAACGAGTAAATAGCGAAGTGGCGGTTTTGGCACAGTGCCCATTTTCAGGGGTGCCGTGCCCAAAACGCTTGTCGTGTAAACCGGCCTACAGTCTCTAATAGAGGTGTGCAAATCCGATCCAATCAGATTTGTTCGGATTTCGGAACAAAGATATACATTTTGGATCAGATTGATAAAGTTGTTTCATAGTTCGGTTCGGACTTCTATATTCGAAATAAAATGAATTAATTATCCACACATTATCACAGGAATTAATTATCCATGCATTTGTCAAAACATCGCGGTTGTTGCTGCATTATTCGTTTAATACTTCAATTGGACATCACATTGTCAGCTTTTTGACAGGTATTTATTGCTTTTATATTTATTTGATAAAATATTTCAAGTTGAATGAGAACTTTATTTTATTAAAGGAATCTTCGAATCGGAATTGTTTATGAAAACTCTGATCGGATTAGACAATTTTGGATCGAATTTTAAACATTAGCCAATTGTCAGATTATAAACATCCAATCCGAAGCACACATCTAGTCTCTAATGCTGCAAAAGTATCACAATTTGTTTAAGGTATTGTTAAAACATTCCAATGTTAACCTTAATCTGTTCAGTAAAAAGCTGTTTTAAATAAAGTTGTTGTAAAAACTATGGTGTGTCTTTTGAATCTGGATGCACACAAATTCACATCCTTGCAAGCAAACTTGCCTTTTTAAAACATTTTAATTAACATATGCAAGCAGTTATAACCAATTGAACCCATTGTTTGGATTTTGCCGTCTGTCTTCTTATAAAGTTTTGGTAATGTTGCACGGTACTCAATGGGGGTGATACTTACATCTTTCTGTGTTTCCCACAATTCCTTTGGGTTACATTAATCTTTGACAATCCCTGAAAAAATTCCTTACATCCTGTAGGATTAAAATTTTTTCGTGTCCTCATGGCATCACTGTCCAAATCAGTTATATTTAAACCAGGAATTTCTTTACCATCCACATTAACATCAGCTCTTGCTTTCAGACGTTTCAAAAGCATCGCAGCTTTTGGGCGTTGGCTTGCAGGTAAATGTCCAATCACGTCCGTGTCAGATAAAGGTACTTTCTCTTCGGATTTTTTTTCCGCATCAGATGCTATGTGAATGGTGGGTATTTGCCCCTCCTTTTGAAGTCTCAAACTCTGATAATTCTCCATGCTTGTGTTGTACAATTTCTGTTTCTAAGCATCTGATATGTCCATACTCTGAACAATCTCTGAATTGACGTAATTTGATGCATCATGTTGGCCGTAATCGTTGCCCTCTTGTTAAATCATACACATTGTTTGGAAAACCTTCTATCCGTTCAATATTGGAAAGGAACTCATCAAATTCTTTTTGTTATTCTCCATAACAGTATATTATCTTCGTCAGAATGGGTCAAACAGTTCCTCTAAATGATGCACATGTGCTGAGCATGTAATAAGTTTGGTTTAACATCCCTGAACTTTATAGAAATATTTCCCAATAAATAATAAATTGCCAATAAAATCCTAGGCGAAAAGTCCTAGGTGTTTTGTTTAGGGACCGGTCATTGGTTATATGTTGGCAACAAAGCCAACATATTTAAGAACCAGTTGGGTTATTTTTGAAATCTGTGAGAATCTGTGAGCTCGCTGTGAGGTTTTAGTAAAATCTGTGATGCTCATGGTGGATCTGTGAGAGTTGGCAACTATGTCCTATATACATGTATTGTAATTAATATATTGAGGGTCCTGAAGGGTGGGGGTCCCAATCCCATTTCCCACTTGAAATTTTGGCAAAATCCGAGTCCCAGTTGGATTTTTATTAGAAATCTCAGTCCAAGTTATTGAAATCCCAGTCAATAAAAAACCATGTTATTTATGGGTAGAATAAACAGTTTTAAGACCTTTTAAGCCACTGTGTGTGCGCAGCGTGTGGCAGAAATGGTTGTGCTTTGCCTTGAGGTATATACTAAGGGTTAAATGAAGTATATACCGGAAACCAGGCATATATTCTGCTGTGCATCTGACTTGGGGACACGCATAATCAGAAAATCCAGAATTCTGGGCACCAAAACGACCCAAAGACGAGTTCAAATGTAAACATAACTTAAATGACTTAATAACAATTACTATAATTACTATAATTACTATATATAGTCATATAAATATATATGCAGAACAGAACAGTCAAGATCACTCAAAGGTCACTGCCTGTCATAACATACTGTAACTGTTACACATTCACCCTTCTGTCTACTTTTGAAGCCCACAAATTAATGAGTACACCAATGTCGAGTTGCGGTACCAGAAATCTTGCCACAAAAATTTCCTTCTGACTGTCAATCGTTTAGTTTCATCACTCAACACTGCTTCAGCAACATGTGAAACTTCTTCCATGAGCACCTGTTTGGGTGTTACCGAAGGTGGAATTTCTCTTTCTACTCTCAACTCGTCATTTGGTTCTGATGAATCATAGGAAAAGTCCTCTCTTCTTCCAACATCCACATCCTGCAGCTGCTAGCATGTGTTTCAATTTCACATAACGGGGTAACTTTCTAGGCATATTGGGCATTGTGTATGCTGTGGTTTTCGCTCATCTGAACCCGAGCAATTACTTGACCCAGCAGCTTCCGAGGAAACAACAGAAGTATTTTGTGCACATTCTTCATAGACATCAATAACACTGACATTTTGAACAGACTGGCTACCCTCTTTTCTACTCCGGTTTAAATTTTGCGGGGTAGTGTACATGCTAGATCTATAAAGTTCTCCATCGGAAGATTCGTCATCACCACCGAATCGGCTTTCAAAATGATCCTCTGAAGAGCATAGAAAAAACGTTATTCTGGTGTATGGTTTGTCGATCTCCTCTTTGTATTTCTTCAACGTAAACGGATCTTCTGTGCCAGGAATTGTTGTCACTTCTTCATAATCTGCATATAAAAGTCGGTAGATTCTCGCACGATCAACCAAGTTTTGGTTGAATCTGGTGTGCTTCTCTACTGCTTTTGTCAACAGTTCTTCGGATCCAATTGAGGGAGCAACAGTCAGCGGAAGAGTTGCACCTCTTTTTATTGAAAGTTTCCCATCTTTCAATATCATCACGCCAATGTTTATCTTCACTTCCTCGGGTTGCTTGTCTTCAAGTTTTGACTTCTTTGCTTTTGTGCCACATGTTTTAAAAAACTTTGACTGCTCTCCTTCTTTATGTGCATGAAAGGACTGGAACGATGTTAAGCCTTTGCCTCTATTTGTGTTTTCAGCACTAAGTGCCAGAGCCAGAGGGAGTTCCACTAGTGTCTTGGTGATCGGTAATTTCCTTCCCGCACTGATGGCAAAATTTGGCATTTGGTATGCATGAAATACCGCAACCAGAACAAAACATTTAGATATTATTAAATATAAAAGAGTTCACAAGTACAGGAGCAATAGAAAGCAATAGAGCATGTGAAAATGCAGTGTTTTTAAAATAAAAGCTATAGGCAAGTGAGAGAAGTACTTCATCTAATAAACGTATAAAAGTCACTTAGCAGGAAATTTGGAAAAAAGAGAGACTTTCAGGTTGGGAAAGTGGGAACACTGTTTGAATTATTATAAAATTGCAGCAACAGAATAAAATTGCAGCAGCCATATATAAAATTGCAGTAACAGAATATAAAATTGCAGCAGCTATATATAAAATTGCAGCAGCGATATATAACATTGCAGCAACAGAATATAAAATTGCAGCAGCCATATATAAAATTGCAGCAACAGAATATAAAATTGCAGCAACAGAAGATAAAATTGCAGCAAAAAACATTGTATTTACATCATATATTATTTATATTTGCACTAATGTAACATTTTGAGCATGTCCCTTATGGGCCACCATACTGATCACATAGTTGCAAAAAGTGTTTTTTTCACCTGATTTACCCGAATTTTTCGAGCTGAACATTTTTTAAAACCGTATTTTTTGAAAATTTGAAGTCTCTAGACCGTCGGAAATGGCATTTTTAGAGTCTTTCCTACCCAATATTTTAATACTGCCTAACAATAAAGGATATGTATTGCTACTTTCAGTTTAATGGGAAATTGAGAAAATTTTGGAAATTTGGAGTCCTCAGGTACATTAATGCCTGGGTCTCAGTTTGTGTATTTAGCAAAAGTAGACAAGAAATAATAAAAAAATAAGTATTGCCTTGATTATTACCATTCAAGTTTTTATACGAATTATCAAAGGAGATTCTAAAAGTTGACCTACTTTTCATTGGCATGGCAATGATCACATGATGTATATTTCGAAAAACAACACAAAAAATGATACGTTTTATTCAGAGGCTCTGCAGCAGTATATTTCGTGACTGAGAGGACGCAGAATTGCGATAATCATTCACACACAATATCACTGTTTATTGAATAAATTCGGAAAGTTTACATTTAGGCTTCGTTTCATTATTTTATGAGGCTATATTACGATGATCGGCATCAAACGAATGTTAATCGCGTCATTGAATGTTATCAACAAATAAATGTACGGTTTCCAAATTAACGCAGGAAACTTTGTTCCCTTGTTAATGTTTTTAGCTAACAAAAATAGCAAAATTTCGTCAAATTACCCTGCTGCAAGTCGAACGCGTTTTTCGCATGATGAATTTCACGCGCCATAATGAAACAGTCTGCCGCTTATTGTAAGGGATATTATATTTCGAATAACAACATTCATTGCGCATTCAAGCCGATATCTTGAAGCATAGTTAAATGCTTGAAGGGAAGTATTCCATGGTGGGAAAGACCGAGTGAACTATATGTGCTATAATTAATTTGTAATTCACAAGCAATTTTTCATTGAAAATAAGAAACGGTCAACAATTAATACTGAATAATCGCAAGATAGCACACTATAAGAAGCTTTTATTTATCAGCAGTTCAAAGGTCAGCTCTCACAAATGATACAATACTTATTGCTATACAAAGAGCCAATTATTACATCAAAACTGAATAGTATACCGACTTCTTTGCATTGTATATTCCAAAATAATCCTGTCGCTCATATATACTATATTTTGATTTGAAGCAAACATTCGAATTCACTAAAATACTCACACAAGGGGGCGCATATTCTAACAGACGCATTACTGACAGATCGCGCGTGCAACACACACGCAAGATATCATCCAAGCATGGGCAGATCCAGGCATTAACATGACTGAGTCCCCAGATCATCGGAAAGGGTATTTTCCAATTGTCCCCCTGCCACAACACGTCTCAACATCTTTAGTTTGTTTGATTGTTAACTCTAATTCAGATTATAGAGTTCACTCTTTTATGCCCTGAGAATTACCTGAATTTACCTGAAAATCTGCAGGAAATCTACCTGAAATTGCTCATGAGCAATATTAGGGTTGTTACACCCTCCCTCCCCTGGTCGCTGCGGCCCTGAGAGCTTAGAAAATCTGTAGATTTCAGAAGAAACAGCATAAACTGACATTTAACTTTTGAGATAAAATGTTTTGGAAATTCCTTAAAAAAATCCTCAAAAACCTAGATTGCTTAAAAAAAATCCTTAAAATTCTTCAAAATTCCTATTTTTAAGGATAATTCCTTAAAAGTGAGAGCACTGGTGGGAGTGGCTATATGTAAAATGTTTTTATTCCTAATTAATAGTTTGAAATACTTTTGTACATTTAGTGCAAAAGAACAAAAAAAGGAAGATCAAAAACAACAGATGCAAGAGAGAAGAGAGGAACAGCAGATGCAACAACAACAGGTGCAACAACAGCAGATGCAACAGCAAGAACAACAGATGCAACAATAAGAGTAACAACATGAGCAGCACCAACAACAGATGCAACAAAAGCAGATGCAACAACAACAACAATCATAGATGCAAAACCAAAAACCACAACAACAGATGCAACAACACGTACAACAAGAACGGCAGATGCAACAGCAACAACAACAACAACAACAGATCCAACAACAAGAGCAACACCAAAAACATATTCACAATCAACAGCAACAACAATCACAGATGCAACAACAATCACAGATGCAACAACAGCAGCAACAACAATCAACAGCCCTGCTAAACCAGCAACAGGAACCACCAGAACAACAGCCGCGTCTAGAACAGCTGCAGCAGCAACGGCATCAACAATGCCAAAGGCGACAGGAACAAGGACATCAGCCACAAGAACAACAAACAACAACACCAGTAGACTAACAACCTGTATGCTATATGAAATTGGCTGTACCAAATCAAGGTTACGTTCCAAATCATGCTAAGCACTTATTCTGGTAAAGTTGTACTTTTTTTATTTTAAGCAATACTGTTTTCAAATTTCAAAAATAATTGTTAACCTTTTATAATAGGCCATAACGTTCTGGTTGTTGGAAAACAGAATGGAAAGGCAGAGTTATTTGGAACTGCCACTGTTATACCTGGAAGACAACTACATTTTTGCCAAATGAGGGGCAATTCATCCAAAGTTGCCTTTTCAGCTTTGAGTATAAAAGATGGTATACCATTCTATTTGGACAAACATGGAGAAGACCGTCTTGCTGTTGGACAGCTATATGAATGGCCAAACACTTACTTACTTCCAATTAATAATCCTAATCAATAATTATTGCTATTTCACCATTCATGTTTCCTTATGTCTTCATCTTGAATTGGGTCAATAATGCGTAATGAAAACTAAAATATTCCTACCTAAATTTAGGCCCAATTAGCCTTCTCATGATGTAGAATTCCGCCATTGTTGGGTGGCATCTAATTCTTGTTAACCAATGCTGATAATTAAAACAATGTGAAAAGCAATTTTTCAGAATAAACTAACCATTTACAAAAGCGAATTTACCATCATTAGTTCGGCTGAAAAGCCACCCAAAAATGGCGGCATGACTAAGAAAGGCTAATTGTCACGGGACAGCGTTTTCCTATGTGAGCACTTTGCATTGGGACTTTATCCCAACTGCCTCACCTTTCACCAAGGTTTCCAACCAGATCTGGCAAAAATGGATGTCATGATTCTGGATCCTAAAGGCTGCATTCCAGTTACGCGTTTTTCATATGGACGTACATGCACAGAAAAGTTGAAATCATCCTAAATTTTATACAATTACTGATTAACTCAACCTAGAAACTCTAAATCATACTCAAAACTAAAAGTGCTGTCTTTAAGTAACATTTAAAGAGATTTCAACTTTTCTGTGCGTAAATGTACATAAGAAAAACATGCAACTTTATCCTTATTTCCAATTTTCAATTTTTCACACCATTCAATTTGTGCCATGTCTGATCGATAACAGAATTTCACACAATTTCTCGTTTTCCCAATTTCCACTCTTGTTGATATAACTGTATATCAACATGGAAAATGTTTTATATTTGTTAGATGTCACATACCATTCGTCAATATTTATTGTTCCTATTTTATCAAGCTTTACAACAATTACCTAAACTGTTATTGTGTTTCTCTTCTTTATCCTATTATTAAGATTGTTACAGTATGACAGGCATCATGCATTGAAGAGAGTGTGGTACGAATTAAGTTTCGTGGAAACTGGTCACCTAGATTTGATTGCTGAAGAGTTATTTTTCCTTTTTGAGTTGGTTAGACTGATTAATGCAGGTGGATTTACATCAACTTTTTAGCTACTTATAACTCAATTTTAACATCATTTTTTACATTTATAGTAGTGCAAGAAGTAAAGCAAATAAAATTTAAGCACCCATATCATGTGGATTCCATGGGCCCCACTATGTGCACTACCTAGATCGATTTATATATGTTGGTGCGTCTTTATAAGACTTGAGCACATTTTTGGCAGAAAAAAATCGTAACAAATGTGCGATAATATTGGCCAATTTTTGCATTTGCATTGAAACCTATCCACATTGCACGATTGTTTAACGAACAGGAATACAGATGGATCCAAAGCTGCACATGTACATCTTCCACCTTTTTCGTCACATGCCAAACATTTGTCAGCTCTTTTACCAATATGAGGGTACATTCCTAATTTGCGATAGTAACTCATTATTGCAATTCGGTATTGCCAAACTTGTTCCGGAAAATATAGAGATACAGTCCAAACACCTCTCGACACAAAGTGTGTTTGTCAATGGTTTCGTAACATTTCTGCTGCATAGGCGTAGCTAATTGTTGCGGTTTCTGGCATGTGCGCTTCTTTGACCTTCCCTTTGGCTTTTCTTCAACTATTAATGGGTTTTCACTGAACAGACATCTTTTTACTGACACTCTATTTGGTTCATTTCCAAAGGCATCGTTATCACAAAATTTGGCTTTTTTGTGCAGGGTAGGTTTCTTAATTTTTAAAGGCTGGTATTTGTACTTTTGCCTTTTTTCGATTCGATTTTGGCCTTCATGTGGTATTCTGCTCACCTCTGTTATAGTGGTTCCTCTGTGTTTAAGACTAATATGGTTATCCAGCCGTTTATAGAATTTCCCATATTTTGCACATGATTTTACACAGCAAATACCGCTTTTCTCCTAAATGAATATTTAATACAATTTTAATTTAACACCCTTTTTATATGAAGGGGCGTGTAAATTGAACAAGTCACATTTTATTAGCACTGATGAAGACCCAGGCTTACAGGTCAAAAGCTTTGCAGTAATAAATTTACATGGTATTTACACAAATAAAAAGTATTATAGAGTTAATTTAGTCCTTCAAATACTGATCTGCTTTTTGACTTCCGCTACCTTTAATTATAGGACAATTAACCAGAAATAGAGTTCTCTGGTCAAATCTTAACCTTTCCAATAAAGAAGTTGACAGCTGTAATGGTAAACAGAGAAATTCGAATATTATGGCATACAAAGCTTTGAGTCATGCCTAAGACATAGTAGCATCAGCTATATATACCTGTCACGTTTTAGGGGGAGTTACTACTTTTAGACTTTTGTGATTTTGTATTTTAAACTTGACTCTAAACATAACCCTTACTCTAATCTTAATCCTAAAAGTCTAAAACTAGTAACTCCCCCTAATATGCGACTCATATGTCAGCTATAGGGTAAATGTCTAGCACACTGAGAAAGCTAGATCCTGCAATGCTAATGAGACTTGTTTCAGCTTTTATTACAAGTTATTAGACAGGAGAGTTCAGTTGACCAGTAATTAACTTATTGAGTCACATTGCACCCCAATGTGCCCCACATTGGTATTATACTCTGTCTAATGCCAGACAATTTTACTTGTCAAGGGAAGAGCACTAGCACTTAATTGGTTAACTGGCCTGCCTGTCCATTTGTGCAGTTAATGAGTCACATTGTGACCTTACTTGTTTCAGTCTTTACTACAAGTTATTCAGCAGCAATAGACAGGCGAGGTCAGTGGACTAGTAATTAACCCATTGAGTTGCATTGTGCCCTCATGTGCCCCACAATCATATTCTACTCTGTATAACTCCACACAATTTTACTTGTCAGGAGAAAAGTGCTGGCGCTTAATGGCTGGCTTAAGAAAGTGGTTGTTAATTTGCACAATATGTGTAGTGCCTAAATTGAGGATTGTCAGTTGTAATATGGCAAAACTAATAAATAAATACATAAGTAATAAATAGTAGATCGAGACTAGTAGTGCACCTTGACTATGAAGAAAACTATACGAGTCATTCCTCTTGAGGGCTTGTGATTAATCTTATATTGGATGGTTATTGTAAATCAATAGTGATAATAGGGACCTATGGTTATAAAACATAAATGCCTAATAATCTTATGTGTGGTACAGGGTTGCACAAAAGGTAAATAAAATAAATTATTTCCTTGTCACAAAAAAACCTAGCAAATGCACATCAGTATTATTCTAATATATCAAATAGAATCTGCTCTAGTAAGAGCAAGCTCCTTTCTTCCGTGCATGCATGTTGTATTTTGCCCCTACAAGTTTATTACATTTTGTGATTGTCTTCAAATCTTTAGTTTTATTTATAAGCAGAGAGAACCATAGCCATGGTTTCTTTTAATTCATATAAGAAATGGAACAATCTTCAAGGTACTATAAATAGTCTAGTGGCTTAGTAGAATAATCGTGACAGCAGTGACAAAAGCATGAAAATTGGCAAATATGTTCCTTATGTATTCCTTTGCAATGTTAGCCTAGGTGCCCATCACAAAAATAAGTTTTACACCATTTATTTCCCATTTAAAGTTTAAAACAATATTTGATTTGGGTTACTGTGGTGGGTAATATGTATTATGTGATTAAAGACGTTTTCTTTAAAAGCTATGGATAAAGTTATTTAATATGACTTGCTAGACTTCTTTGTGTATGTTTACTACAAATTACAAATAATTTTTGAACACTAAAATGAGTTATTTGGTGTTGTATGTCAATTGTGGGTTCTAGTCCCCCTGCGTCAAACCTTATTCCAAGATGGCGGCATCATACTTCTCTGTTGAAAAAGTAAGTACTTAAGCAAAATATTTCGCACCTACTGCGATCTTCAACAAGAAAATTAATTGAATTACACTTCTTGATTATTTTTCTAGAGAAAAACATAGGTCTTTATGCAAATCTTCTATTTTATTCAAAGATAGGAAAATGCCTTACGATTGGAGCAGATGTGCAATCTGTCAAGAAGACAAGCCTGAAGCTTTGAAGTGTCCTTTGAGTGGACCCCAATGGCTCGACTCTAATGAGGTTTATTCCACTTTTTTAACAAATGTAGCTGAGTTTCGCTCAATAGCAGCACTGCCTACACATTTTCAACTTGATGAAAACACGACCATTCAAGATTTAATTTCAAATAAAGCGATATGGCATAAATCTTGTCATTTGAAATTTAGCACCTCCAAGCTAAACAAATTGAAAGTGCAATGCAATAAACGGAAACAACAAGGTTGTAATTCGTCAAAGGATACTCATGAATATGAAACACAAACTCCAAAACGTAAAGTAGCCAAAAAGCAGCTTCTACAAAACTGTATATTTTGTGAAGGGAACACTGGTAAACTGCATAGTTTTACCACACTGGAATCCGACAAAAATGTGAGAAAAATTGCAACCACTTTGGGAGATTTTGCTCTTTTATCAAGGATAGCAGGAGGAGACCTAGTCGCTATTGAGGGAAAATACCACATGTCTTGTATTACTACGTTCAGAAACAGATATAGGTCATATATGTCGAAAACTGATAACAGTTCTTACAGGGGTGATGAAGAAAAAATGAAGGAGTCTAGAGCAATGTTAGAACTGCTTTCATATATCAATAGTGCAGTCGATGATGGGACGTTGGTGTTCACCCTATCGGAACTTCATTCTTTGTATGTGAACAGACTGAAAGATTTGGGTATCGAAAAACAGGTGAACAAAACAAGGCTAAAAGCTGCTCTTTTAGAGAAACTTGATGCCCAAGAACAGTACGATGGGAAGAATACAATTTTTGTTTTTGAAGAAGGAATGAGAAATATGCTTAAAGACGCGGTATTAAAGAGAGATTTCATGGACGATGCGTCTGTAATGGCAAAGGCTGCTTCCATTATCCGACAGGACATGTTTCGCCACAAAGAGCAATTTAAATTTTCTGGAAGTTTTACATCAAAATGCCAGGAAAATTCTGTACCAGCTAGTTTAAAGTCACTTATCGCTATGATAATAAATGGGACGAACCTTAAAGACCAAGAGAAACACGACTCGCAATCATGTTTAACAATTAGTCAAACAATTCTGTTTAATTCCAAGAAAAAGGAGAATAACTCAAAATCTACTGTTCAAACGCGCCACGTGCGGGAACCTCCTATCCCATTGTATATCGGATTGAATATTCATACGACCACAAGAAGCAAATCTCTCATAACTAAGTTATACCAAATGGGACTCTGTGTGTCCTATGATAGAGTATTACAGGTTGAAGATTGGCTGGCCACATCTGCCAGCGAGAGATTCAATGAAGATGGCCTCGTTGTACCTGCCTGTCTGAAGGATGGCATTTTTTCTGTTGGCGCATTGGATAACATAGACCATAACCCTTCGTCGACAACAGCAACATCATCATTCCACGGAACGGGAATATCTATCTTTCAGTTCCCGTCAGAGGAGAAACCAGGACAGGATAGACCAGAACTAACTATACCACCCTCAGGTAACGAACGCCACTTTCTACCAGATTCTTATACCACAGTTCTTCCAGTAGAAATGAATGCCAACACCACAATAATCCCAGACCGTGTAGTAGAGCCAACAGAAAGTGTTGTCAACGTGGAGTTGGAACAAGAAAATCGTTGGCTAGAGCATGCATTGACCAAAGTAAACCAACCAAGTGTGAACTCTGACGACACTTTGACCTGGTCATCATACCACTCGTCCAGAGACACCCTTCCCACGGTTTACCCGGCTGTTACCGCCCTTCTTCCCCTTTTTAACGAGAAGGCAGCTTCTCCAGCAATGTTAAAACATGGCATGACTGTTTTAAAGGACGCAATAACCTTCTTGAATCCTGGACAGGTTCCTGTAATTGCACTAGACCAGCCTCTATTTGCACTAGCGAAACAGGTGCAATGGAAATGGCCCGAAACTCATGGTGAAGATATGTACGTGGTCATGTTTGGTGGCTTACATATCGAAATGGCACTATGGAACACTCTTGGGGATTTACTTGAATGTTCAGGGTGGACCACAGCTCTTGTGGAGGCTAACATAGCTTCGAGTGGTACTGCAGAATCCTTTCTCAAAGTTACACACCTCACACGAACCAGGTATTTTTAATGACTTTGTTCAATTAGACAACATACTTTCAAACTAACATTGTGATATTTTTTTCAGACATGCCCATCAGACTACACTACTTGCTCTTCACAATCTAAAGAAAGAAGCTTTCTTGGAAAGTGGTGAAACTAATGAAAGCATGCACACGTGGGAAGAGAGGATGGTGGAAAGTAGTCCAACTTTCATGTTTTGGAACATGATCATCCGTTATCAGACTCTGATATTGTTGTTTGTGAGAGCCCACAGAGAACGAAACTTCAAATTGTATGTCGACGTCTTGGATAACCTGTTACCACTTTTCTTCGCCTTAGACCACATCAATTACGCCAGATGGCTGCCAGTGCATCTAAGAGATATGCGATCACTGCCAGACACAATCAAACGAGAGTTTGAGGAGAATGGACACTGGGCTATTTCTAAAACTAGTCACAAGTTTTCAACAATGCCACTAGATCAGGCTCACGAGCAGGAGAACAAAATTGTGAAGAGTTCTGGTGGCGCAGTAGGCCTCACTGAGAATCCTGTTGCTTTCAGGTATGATAGAGAAAAGAATTATTATTACATATAAGTACTTAATAATGGCGTTGAAAATTAATTGTGAATATTATTTATAGACGGTGGATGCTCTCTGGGCCACAGTTATCAAGACTTGTGACGCAGTTTGAGGAGCAGTACTCACCAGATCACGAGAATCCCAACGCATTTGTTCACCACGAAACAACTCACTCTGCACAGAAAACCTTTAGGCAGCAGGTTGTGAGTCTGACGGATGTATTCAAGAAAATGGGCAATCCATTTCTGGATGATTTTCCAGAGTTGGTGGCTGCTGACAGTCGTGACTGCGCAGATCCATCTGTAGCCGAGTCATTGCGCAACCTCGAGAAGACAGGAAAGCAACAGTACGAAGCATTTGTAGAAGATGTCCTTGTCAAACGTACCAAGTCCATAAATGACACAATTAAGAAGAACAAACTTTCCTTGTTTAAGCAACCACGTAACAGCAACCCATCGAAGCAAGGAAAACAAATAGCTGCCCTGAAAAATGATGTTTCGATTTTCTCACAATTGTACATAGCCCTGCAGACCCGACAAGGAGATATCAGAGATTTTTTCTCACATGAGGTTCATAAATACCCACCATCTATATCTGAATATGGAAGACTCCGCCTACCTAGTTCCAAATCCGATCTACTTAAATGCCTGCCACAATCTGGGGAAGCTACTATACCTAACCACTTCGACTGCAAGATTTTAGATGGAGCAATGATCGTACACAGCTTGCCTACAACAAATGCTTCTACATTTGATAATTATGCAGAAGGTGTATTCATACCTTACATCCTACGACAACTTAATGAATGCAAGAGAGTCGATATAGTATGGGATGACTACCGCCCTGAAAGTTTGAAGGAGTCAACGCGCGAGAAGAGAGGAAAAGGAATTAGAAGAAAAGTTTCTGGTCAGACAAAACTCCCGCCAAAATGGTCCGAGTTTCTTCGGGATCCCATAAATAAGTCGGAGCTCTTTGCCTTCTTGACCTCCAAAGTCCAAACATACGCCTGGCCTACTGAGTCTATTGTTACTATTACTTCGGGTAATAATAAGAACTATATCATGACTACACTGTATTCTTTATTTTTGCCTAAACTTTGTAACAATTGTGTTTTTATTGGGGGTTTTTCAGGATCATCAGTTGTATGCTTTGGCTCAAACAGTCCAATGTCTGAATGCAATCATGAAGAGGCCGATTCCAGAATCGTGGTCCACCTTCTACACGCTGTCAGTTCAGACAACGCTAAGTCCGTTCAAGTAAGGACAGTGGACACTGATGTAATAGTTATCCTTATCGGCAAAGTTCATGATATCCTTGCAAGGTATCCTGAAACAGATATCTGGGTAGCGTTTGGAATGGGGCGACATTTTTCACTTAAGCATATCAACAGCATTTGCAACCATCTTGGAGAAAGCAAATCACGATCGCTTCCAGTATTTCACGCTTTAACTGGCTGCGATACCACATCTGGATTTTTTGGAAAAAGCAAGCTGTCGGCATGGAATACATGATTTGAGTCAATCACTAGAAGCTTTGGCTAAAGAGCCATTTCAGAAGCTAACCCTCAGTTCTGATATATTTTCAATTATCGAAAGGTTTGTTATACTCATGTATGATAAAACCTCTCCTCTTCAATCAGTAAACGATGCTAGGATGGCGCTTTTCTGCACATCAGTAAAGTCAATAGAACGACTTCCTCCCACACAGGTGAGTTAGCTAAAAAAATTAATAAAACAATATCGTTGGGACTATACTGTCTATACATATCATTGTGAAATATATTGTTTACACTCTTATTTAGGATGCTTTACTTCAGCATGTTCTCAGAGCCATTTATCAAGCCGGAATTTGGGCCACAAGTGACCAACCAATGCCTTTTCTGCCCTCACCTGACAATTTTGGCTGGGACAAAGATCAAGTCTGGACTCCAAAATGGATGACACTGCTGGAAGTTTCGAAAGCGTGTCAAGAATTTATTAGCTGTTCGTGCAAAGGGAAATGCTCCCGATGCAAGTGTGTACGTGCAAACCTGGACTGCACATCTTTGTGTAAATGCCATTGTACTGGAAAATTACCTTGAATGCGTGTCCGGAGGTCATTATGAGGTTTGAGAAGTTGAAGTGTATTGCACATATTTTCAATATTTTTAAAAATTTTTAAAGATATTAACAATCCTGTTGTATCATATTAGTGGTCTTGAACACCTTTCTAGAAAAAAATGATATTTACTGCCGAAAAATACAGGAAAAACGAATTTATATTTTAGCTTAGCAACCAGGCCTCCAGAATATTTGCCATTTTTAAATTAATGCCTATAATAGACAAACCAGAGACTATTAAGATGGGCACCTAGGCACACTTTAATAGGTATCGCCTAAAGAAACTTTGTGCCAAATTTGGTGCTTTTGTCACATTCGTAACGATCAGGCCATTTTTTGCCGCTAAGCTACTAGACTAATAGAGGCATTTAGCCATGGAATTCTTTTAGTTTTAATATACTTCCTCAGAATTTGCGCGTGTCTATCAAGTACTTCTATGTAGAAGGACTTCCAGACTTGTCAGCTATCATTCGGGTTATTAAATTGATTGACATCCTAGACAAATCGTGCAAAAATAACCTTTCATTAAAGTTTCTAAAATTTCGAAGCTCACTACATGTTCTCTGTGCTTTTAAAGGAACTAGCTTTTTAACAGCATAAATCAAACTATGATCTGAAATCCCAATTTCAATTACACCATGATTAGAGATGCTTTCGGGATTATTGGCCAGAATTAGGTCAATCTGTGTTGCTGAAGATCGACTTAGTCACCCTCGTTGGCTCATCAATAATTTGACTAAGTTGATGCAACACACATATATTTTTAGTTTTTGCGTATGACTGTCCAACAGCGTCGTATTCCAGTCACAATTTAGATCTCCCAGAACAAGTAGTTCTTTACTTTCTATCTCACATTTATTAATAAACATTTCAAAACTGTCAAATAGATCTATGTTTGAATTTGGTGGCCTGTACCAAGCACTAATTAAGAAAGGTTTACCGTATTCACGGCAGATTTCAATGCACACCATCTCAAGCTGATTAGGAATCAGTTCTTTCCGCTCTATAAATAAAAAGCAGTCTCTGATATACAACACGACACCCCCACCATCTCTATTACGATCCTTCCGGCACAAAGCGTATCCTGGTATTTTGATCTCAGTGTCAGAAATAGAGTCATCTATTTTAGACTCATTTATAGCTAGGACATCCAGCGGATTTTTTTCTAAAATCACTCGAATCTCATCGATATGTTTCAAAAGACTATTTACATAATACATTACTATTAGTATTGGGATAATTATCATTTAACGAGTTCGTCTTCTTTGAGACATAGATGTCTGAGTTAAGGCAGCCAGATTTAGCAGATCTCCGAGAACATTTTCAGAAGGTACATGCATGGTTTCCTACTAGTTGTTTATTTAATTGTTTATCAGGGTTTAAAAATTTAATAAAGCGTGTAGCTAGTAAAGCAGATGCTTTTGCGCTCAGATGTAATTTACTATTATTAAGTCCAGATTCATCTATGATTGAATTGTCAATAAAAGAAAAGCCAGATTCATTACATAAACGTTTTAGATCCTCAATTAATTGATACATTTTACTCGATACTTCAATATCTTTCCTTAAAATGATACTTGAAACACCTAATTTAGCCTTAGAAAACTTTTCTTTAATACTAGAACACAAACCTTTGATGTTCTTTATACACTGATCACGTGTGTCGGTTGGTAGATTGTTCGTCCCGGCGTGTATAATAACATGGGTTGGATGTAACTGAACATTTATATTCTTTATTTCAAATGCAATTTCCTCCGCTCTTTTGCCTGGAAACGTGAATTTATTAACCCGTTTTCTTGATAGTTTACGAGGGTTAATGTTCTTAATCATTGAGTCTCCAACAATGGCGATATTTGGTTTGTTTTCAGATTGATTTTCCTTCTGTCGATGACCATTTAGATTTTTATTTACTTCATTTATTTCAGCAGGAACATTATTGGCTTCCTCTACCCTCAAATGGGAGAAACGGTTACTGGTTAGGACAGCCGGTCCTGCAACTCGATCATAATCCAACGATTTTTCCTTTGAACAATTTATTTCTTCCGTGCTTTGTGCACTGAGGCTATTTTGGGTTAAAATGTTATTGCGAAATTGTTAACGCTCCGCTTCGGTATTATTTTCGTGTGGTCGATTGTCTTGTAAAGGGTAATTGCCGTTTGATGGTTGACTGATTCCCAAATCATTACACAACAGCCGAACAGATGTAATTAGGCTGGCTTTTTCGTCCTCAGCTACTTTAGCTTTCCCTTGCAAATCAGAAATTACTTATTCGATCGGTTAAGTCTTTATTTTGGTTTTTGAGTTCAAGATTTTCTCATTTTAAAGCTGTTAAATTCACTATCTGGATGTAGATTATTAATTTGCTTTAGCTCATTTGAATGTTCCAACAATATGTTGTTTACAGTTGACATATGCGCAGCAAATTCTTTAGATAAAACCTGCAGCCGATTTTCAAAAGATTTCATATGTTTTTCCAGAGACTTGTCGTTACGATCGGGTTTACTGGTTGCTTCGGCAGGAGATATAAAAGAGTTCCCCAGAGCACAGTTTGTGTCACTATTCTGCTTGTCTACTTCAGCTAATTCCTTAGAAATTGAGGCTATCGAGCAGGGCCGGATTAACGTTTCGCGGGGCCCGTGGCATATTATCAGGGCGGGGCCCCTTGACCCCCCCCCCCCCGAACGGCATTTGATACACTGAATTCAATAAGATTAGAAAATATCCTCTTGTATTTCATGCGTTGAAAAGTTTACAAAAAAAAAGAATTATAGCTACATCAATAATATGATCGAACTGAAATTCGACACCATTAACATTATTATTATTTGCAGGCGAAAAATAGCTAAACATGACAGCGTCGCGATATAAACTTCTGCCGTCTTCCACAACAATTCAGCTATCTTTTATTATTTAATAATAATAATTTAATACTTATAGCGCGCAAATTTACATTCGAATATGATCAAATGCGCGTTACAAAAGATAGAATTTTATATAAAACCTATATTACAAGAGTAAATTACAACGGGTTCAGTATACTAAAATATATATGTACAATGTATAAAATCAATGTTAATAAGTAAAGTTAGGCATAAGCGATCCTAAACAAGAACTTATTAAAATTCGTCTCATGTCTAATTTCTCGAGGAAGGTCGTTAAAAAGTTTAGGCGCTGCCACAGCAAAGGCCCAAAGGTCTTTTTGGTTTTCGTATGAGAAACCGTAAGCAGGATATCCTTATTTCTGCGTAAAGAATACGAATATTTAACAGTATTTTGTTTGCGGCCCTGAATTTGGAGCCTCGCTTTTTAAACTTTGGGACCTCGCGTTTTTTTTATGTTGGGCTTCGCGTTTGGTCCATTGGGGCCCACGCTGTTTGGATCCCGCGCTGAAACAGGGAAAAAAAACCCGTTTGGGGCCTCGCTCTTTGGGGCCTCGATTTTTAAATTTTGGGGCCTGACGTTCTCAGGGGACCGTGTGCTCTTTGGGGCCCCACTCTGAAACACTGACTGCGGGGAATAAAAAACCTTTGGGGCCCTCGCTTTTTAAATTATTGGGCCTCGCGTTTTCTGTGGGACTTGGGCTGTTTGGGGCCCCGCACTGAAACAGGGAACGAAAAAAAAGTTTTTTCAGGGAACGAAAAAACAGGGAACGAAACAGGGAATGAAAAAATCCGCTCTTTGGGGCCTCGCTTTTTAAATTTTGGGGCCTCACGTTTTCTCGGGAACTTAGGCTCTTTGGGCCCCACGATGAAACGGGGAACAAAAAATTCGGGGGAAAATAGAAGAGAGTAAGCGCGGGGCCCCCAAAAGCGCGGGGCCCGTGGCATATGCCGCTTCTGCCATATGGTTAATCCGGCACTGCTATCGAGTACAGTTATTCTTCCGTCTCGCTTTGACACCTTCCATTCAATGTGATTGTTTTAGCTTTAGCAGACGCCTTCGCTTTCAAACAATTTTGCATCGCCCCCAGGAGATGACCATTCTCCATTCGGTAGATTTAGTACTTCTTCGACAAATTTTCGTAGAAGATCATATGCATGAAGAATTCCAAATCAGCTTTCCTTTATCGTTTACAGACAGATTATGTAGAAGGCTTTGTTCGGTTAAAGACATTTTGATTGAGTTAGCGGAGCGAAAATTACACGTCTTCACTCTACGACTGCTCTCAATTTGACGGTAAATTTTAAACACTGTGTTCAAAATTCAAAACTGAAATTCAAAGTAACCCTCTGCTCCATTTAAAGTACGTAATAACGAACGTTTTCCACGCTGATTATTTTCGTTCATTTTTAATTTAATTGCCCACCGGCCTGTATCTACAATCGCGCGATTTTAATATGTAAGTAAATGTAAGTAAAGTATGCATTGCATATGATCCTGACATTTTGTTTTTTTACAAAGACAGACATTTTGTTTTTTACAAAGTCTATTTGAACGAAAACGATAAAGCA